CCTGTCTGACCCTTCAGAGGAACAGCGTGAAAAGAGAGAGGATGGTAGAGTTTTTCTCTTAAAGGCCCTTTGCACCTGCATGCAGACTATGTAGTGAAGTAGGGATGCAGCAGCCCGAATGTATTCTGCCTGGTGACAGGGCAGGCCAGCATAATGCCTGAGTCCTTACAGTGTCATCACTAGCAGACAAATGGCCTGCCAGGTTTCATCCACTGTGAATTAACCATAAGATACATTGTCCTATATCCTATGGGACCAAGAGATTAAAATGACAAGTTTACCAAAAGTTAAGCAAGTGGGGGGTGGAGTGGAGAGACTGCTCAGCCATTAAGCATTAAGAACATCCACTGGGTATATGCCCAAGAGTTGTATTGCTGGGTCTTGAGGTGGATTGATCCCCAATTTTCTAAGAAACTGCCTTAGTGATTTCCAAAGTGGTTGTACAAGTTTTGCACTCCCACCAGCAGTGGAAGAGCATTCCCCTTACTCCATACCCTCTCCAGCATAAACTGTCATTTTTTTTTTTTTTGCCATTCTGACAGGTGTAAGATGGTATGTCAGAGTCATTTTGATCAAGAGCCTGCAATATCACTCTTGGGCATATACTCAAAGGATGCTCAATCATACCACAAGGACACTTGCTCCACTATGTTCTTAGCAGCATTATTTGTAATAGCCAGAGCCTGGAAATGACTAGATGTCCCTCAACCAAAGCGTGGATAAAGAAAATATGTTTTATCTACACAATGGAGTATTACTCAGCAGGAAAAAACAATGACATCATGAAATTTGCAGGCAAATGGCTAGAAAAAAATCATCCTGAGTGAGGTAACCCAGACCCAGAAAGACAAACACTGTATGTACTCACTCATAAGCAGATATTAGATGTAAAGCAAAAAATAACCAGGCTACAATCCTCAGCCCCAGAGAAGCTAGGTAACAAGGAGGACCCTGATAGGTATGCATAGATCTCCCTGGAGAGAAGAAATAGATGAGATGCACTGGGCAAACATGGGGGTGGGGAGATAGAGGAGAAGGGATGGGGAATGGGAGCAGGAGGCATCAGGATGGTGGAAGTAGAAATCGGGATAAAGGGGGAGTAATGAAAGAGCTATCTTGATAGAAGGGGCCATTATGGGGTTATGGAGAAACCTGGTGCCAAGGAAACTCATAGGAACCCACAAGGATGACCCCAGCTAACATTCCTAGCAATAGTGGAGAGGCTGCCTGAACTAGCCTTCCTCTGTAATCAGGTTGGCGGCTACCTTCATCTAGTACCTAATGGAAGTAGATGCAGAGATCCACAGCCAAGCACTTGGCCAAGCTCAGGAAGTCCAGTTGAAAAGAGGGTGCAGGGATTATATGAACAAGGGGGTCAATATCATGATGGAGAAACCCACAGAGACAGCTGACCTTAGCTTGTGGGAGCTCACAGACTCTGGACAGACAGCTAGGAAGCTGGCATGGGACTGACCTAGGCTCTCTGCATCTGACTGACAGTTGTGTAGCTGGGTCTTTTGTGGGGCCCCTAACAGTGGGACTAGGACCTGTCCCTGATGTATAAGATGGCTCTTTGGAACCTATTCCATAGGGTGGGATGCCTTGTTCAGCCTTGGTGCAGTGGGGAGGAACTTGGTCCTGTCTCAACTTGATATGCCAAGCTTTGTTGATTGCCATGGGAGGCCTTACCCTTTCTGAATGGAGATGGAGGAGGAGAGGATTGGGGGTTATGGAGGAGGGAAGTAGGGGGAAGGGAATAGGAGGAGAAGAGGGATAGAAAACTGTGTTTGGTATGTAAAATAAAATTTTAAAATGATGAATTAAAAACAAAGACAATATGGAAAAAAAAAGAGTTAAGAGCATTGGCTGCTCTTCCAGAGGGCATGGGTTCAATTCCCAGCACCCATATGGCAGCTCACAGCTGGCTGTAACTACAGTTCCAGGGCTTCTGACACCCTCACACAGACATACATTCAGGCAAAACACCGATGCACATAAAATAAAAATAAACTATATATAAAAAGCTAAGCAGTATAAAAAACAAAACAAAAGCCCACCCACCAATCCTTTCTCCAAAAGAATATGAGTTCTATATTATATAAAATAAAATAAAAAATCTAATAGATGCATTAAAAATGTAGTAGCAACCTTCACAAAAGTTGCCATCAGTCTAAAAGTATGATGTCTTGAAAATGACAGCACTATGTAGCAAAAAAGAAAGAAAGAAAGAAAGAAAGAAAGGAAAAGAAAAAAGAGCCAAAATATCTAGAGTCATGCTGTTAAATGCAGAAAGTTCAGTGTCAGTTAGCTTGAAGAAAGTACTGATTACCTCTCACTCACCTATAGACTCCTGTATGAAAGCTTTAAAAAGTTATAACATGGAGTGGGGATGGGGCACGCTGGAGAGATGGCCCAGTAGTTAAGAGCACTGGCTGCTCTTTGCAGAGGACATGGGTTTGATTTCCAATACCTTTCAGGTTGCTTACAGCCATTTGTAACTCTAATTCCAGGGGATCTGACACTGTCTTCTGTCCTCTGCGGAACCAAAAGTATATGGTTATAAGACATTTTCTTCTTTCTCTCCTTTTTTCCTTCATTCCTTTGCTTCTTCCCCCCTCCCCTCCTTTCAGTGTTAGGGATCAAATACAAGGCATTGACCCATAGGCAAAACAAACACTCTGCTATGACTTGCATTTCTAGCCCCCAGGTTTGCATGTTCACGGGTACAATTGAGTAGTAACATTCCTGAAACCATCTTTGATTTCCATCCTTTTTAGAAATAGGATGGTAATGTTAAAGCAATTGTTGAGTATGTAGCAGCCAAAAAGTAATTTAGGAAAGTGGTGTGTGTGTGTGTTAGAAATAGATAGAGATGATAGATAGATAGATAGATAGATAGATAGATAGATACATAGACAGATAGATAGGAGAATATGGGCAGCCACATGTGTGTGTTGAAGGGGTCAGCTTCCACGTTAACTAAGAACACTAAGCATATTACTTCTTGTTCTCTAATGTCTATACTTTTTTTCTTTTTACAATAAAATTGTTTTGAGAAAGGATTTTGCTATGTATCTCAGGCCAGCCTTAAACTCCCAGTCCTCCTACCTTGGCCTTGCTAGTGCTAAACTCACAAGTGTGTGTTACCACATATGGCTCTGGCTTTTATACACCTATTCAGCCAGCCACTCTTTAGCATTAACTTCCCTGGGTTATTTAGGCACACAGATTTCGGTAAGAGAGGACAGTCTCCCATCAAATGTTTTGTGTTACCTTAAAAACAGGGCTTATCAGAGGATGTCACAGATTATGTATCAGGGTGTTTTTGATTTTGTTTTTTTGTTTTTTCTTTTTGAGATAGGGCTTATCAAGGATTTACAATTACAAAAGAAAGTTGTTTTGGTTATAAAAGCAGTTTCAGTCTGAGACACAATGAATAATTATTCTTTAAAAGTTGAGCAGTGGGAATTGAAAAGATGCCTCAGTGGTTAAGAGCACTTACTGTTCTTGAAGAGGACTCGAGTTCAGTTCCCAGCAGCCACATGGCAGCTTACCTGTCACTTCAGTGCTGACATATCCAACACCCCCTTCTGGTCTCTGCAGGCTCCTGTGTAAACATGATACACATAAACTAACAAGGTACACACATGTATTCATGAATAAATAAATACACCTTTGCTTAGAAGCTGAGGGACCTATTACTATTTGCATTAATAAGATAATACATAATCTGGCAATATAATATGTAATACAATAATAATATATAATATGTAATACAAACAAGATTTCGTATGTGTAGTGTTGGATAATATATAAAATATTACACAATAAAACACATTTCACTTCTAGTCTTTAAAGTGTTATGCTGGAGGGAAGACCTTGATATAAAGTAGTGTCCATTGTGTGATTCCAATGTTTTGAAATTCTAGGCAGTGTAAATCCATCCACAGAGACAGAAAAAGGGTCAGGATTTGCCCAGGAAAAAGAAGAGGGAAGCAAGAGAGGAAGGGATCCTCTTTTGTGCTGGAAATGTGTGTCATTTTTGACCTTTGTGGATGGCTTCAAAGATGTATGCACACATTAGAACCTACCAAAACTGGACATTTAAAATATATACATGTAAGATGACGGTTATACTCAATAAACCCTATAGAACTCTAATTCTGATGGTGACATTATTCTTGTTCAGATGAACTACGCTAATATGATCACCACACCCACATCTATCTTGGGATTAAGTTGACGCATAGAAATAAGAAACAGAGTCGCAGTTGTGATTGGCAGGAGGACAAGTCCTTCTTTTGCTGTGTAGAGGTCAAGGCCCTAGTTACTTATCTTAATCTTTTCCACCAGCACTCATCAGTTTACTTTTATCAGCACAGAAGTCACTTTCAGAACTCTCACTCCTGAAGTGTCTTGAAAAGCTCATGCTACATAGTTGTAGAAAATATCTCATAGGGTTGTAACTGTATGTTGTAAGCCGTGGTGTGGGGTTAGTAGCTTTCATTGATGAGAAGGAAAGAATGAAAAGCAATGCTTCAAGGACATGAAAAAGTTGGGTATCTTTATTTTATCATTAGTGTCTAGGACAATAAAATCACTTGTTAGTACATATGAATTGTATAAAATGGGTTTTATTGTGATGTTTTCATGCATGCAAATACACTACAGTGACCCTGAAAAATAGATTTGGAAAAGTTAATTCATAGCACTCCCTCAGTCTGTTCTTTTCACACTGTAGCCACACCCTCTGACTTCCTTCTGTCCAATGCTTTAATATAGATCCTTAACCCTTTACTGTGGTCTGCTCATGCTTCTCAACCAGGTTTTCATGCATGCAAATACACTACAGTGACCCTGAAAAATAGATTTGGAAAAGTTAATTCATAGCACTCACTCAGTCTGTTCTTTGCACACTGTAGCCACACCCTCTGACTTCCTTCTGTCCAATACTTTAATATAGATCCTTAACCCTTTACTGTGGTCTGCTCATACTTCTCAACCAAGCCCCTGTCTACCTCATCATCATCATTCGGTCCTCAGTCACTTCAGTACTTTTCACCATCTGACTCATCGAGGCTCTTCATGCTGTAAAGCAGTTCGACTTCTCCAGGAAACAGAGTCAGGCAGAGCTTAGAGTTCCGGATGTTTATCAGGGAGTGGTGCTTGAGTCAACACCCGTGCAAAGGACCGGGCTGAGGCAGAATTGGGAAGAGGGAGAAATCCAGCTGAGATGCAAGCCAGACAGTGCCAGCCAACAGCACAGGGTGCTCAGAAACTTGAAACAGAACACAGAGGTGACCTGCCTGTCCGGGGAAGGGTGTGACCTTGGCATGCAAGTGGGTGGAAGGGTGTGACCTTGATCTGAAAGTAGAGGGAGAGGTGTAACTGGAGTGAGACTTCTGAAGAGTCCGGAGAGTGCTGGCAGCAGGGCAGGTACTAAGAAGCAGCAAGCCCCTCGGCAGAGGGGGATTTGGGTTTTACCTATTGCACATGAAACTTGCCTTTTTCCCAGACTGTTGGGTCATTTCAGGTTATCCTTCTATTACAGTGCATTGCTGGTGTCTGTAAACAAGGCCTTCCAGATTAAACTCAGTTGGCTTCTCTACCAGGTCAAGTTCCCCCTACGCCATCATTCCATCCTGGCATAGCCTTTATCATACTTCACAGTTGCTTGGGTATGATCTTTTTCCTTGCAAAAATAACCCCAAGAGGTTGTTATGATAAAGCTCTAGGGGGGACCTTATCGGTTTCCATGGCAGAGGGGGCGACCAAGTCGGAGGGACAAACATGCCAGGTAGACTCAGCTTAGTGAGAAGTTTTATTAGAAAGGGAAAGGGGGGGAAAGAGGTAAAGAGACACAGAGATAGAGAGAGGACAGAAGAGAAGAAAGAGACAGGAAGAGTCCTGTCTGGTGGAACAGAAGCAATGAGAGGGAAAGAGCAGGAAAGAGAGAGTAGGTGGGCGAGGTCTTTCTTTTAAAGGGGTCCTTTGCACCTAGGCTGACCAGGGTACTGCCTGAGAGTATTCTGCCAGGTGATAGGGGCAGGCCAGCATAATGCCGGAATCCTTACAATAGTGCCTGCTGTAACATTCACCTTGGTTTCTCCAGTGGCTCATAGATACTCAGAATGATGACTGAAAGATTGGTGAATACAAGTTCAGAAGGCACTGCAAGAACCAAAGGTTCTTAGCCATATATTCACTTTGGTGTGTACCAGAGTTGGTGGCACTGCAATAGCAGGACAGACTTCAGGTTCCATAATTACATAGCCTAATAGGTCAGTCCCAGCTCTATTAAACCTCAGAGAATCGCTCCCGAGATTCTGTCCTGAGTATTTACAGGCAGTGAATGGCTTCTAAATGAGAGAGACATTTTCTTCAGTTGCGTAGCCACTGGTAAGGTGTCTGTGCTTCTGTAAACACACTCTCTCACACACCCTCTCACACACTCACATACTCTCTCTCACACACACACTCTCTCTCACACATACACACACATACCCACACACACACACAGACACACAGACACACAGACACACACACATACAAAAAGACTAGATGGGAAGAAGGTGATCATAAAGGGTAAAAATAACCAAAATACATTGTATGTGAAGATGCCATAATGAAACCCATTATGTTGGCTTCTCTACCAGGTCAAGTCTTTGGCTTCTCTAATAATATATATAATTAATATATATATTATATATATAATTCAATATATATAATTAATATAATATATATTCAATAATATATATAATTCAATAATATATATAAAATTGAATAATATATATAATAATATATATATAATTCAATAATATATATAATTCAATAATATATATAATTAATATATGCTAATTTGTTTGGATGAGAATACTCCCCAAAGGCTCATATATTTTAATGGTTGGTCTCTAGTTGGTGAAACTGTTGGGAAGGGTAGGTGTGGCCTTGTTGGAAGAGGTGTGCCATTGAGGTGGCTGTGAGGTTTCGAAGGGCTACACCATTACTACTGAGTGCTCCCTCCCTCTCCCTCTCCCTCTCCCTCTCTCTCTCTGTCTCTGTCTCTGTCTCTGTCTCTCTCTCTCTCTCTGAGTCATGTTTGTGAGCAGATGTAAGCTCTCATGCCTGCCTGCCTGAGTGCTTCCACACTCATCATGATGGTTATGGACTCACCCTCTGGAACTGTAAGCCCCAATAAACTCTTCTGTAAGTTGCTTTGGTCATGGAGCTTTGTCACAGCAGTAGAAAGGTAACTAAGACACTAATGAAAACCTCTTTAAGTGCCTCAAACCAGTAATCTCAGTTAAAAAAAAAACAAAGATAATGAAAACCTCTTTAAGTGCCTCAAACCAGTAATCTCAGTTAAAAAAACAAAGAAAAAATAGAACCTTGTTGGATTTTCTACCCTTTCCAGTTTAATATTGGTTTCAGTTTGTAGTTTATTTGGTTTATAGTTTTGTGTATAGGAGATGGAGGGCAGTACTGCCTTCTCATGCTTAAGATCTAAGGATTTCAACAAATACTCTCCATTTACATTACCTAGGAGTTGACAATTCAGCAGTACTGATCTACTTGTAGCTTACAGGTAAGTGCCTGCCACAGAGAAGCACACACACATGCCTGTAACTGAAATGCCTTCTCCTACATTAAGAAATTCCTACTTGACAGACCCTCTGAGTGGTCATGCTGATCCAGATCCAGTGCTTGAGTTGGTCCACCCCAACATCTACTCCATCTAAGAGCTGCTGGAACCGGTGGAGGAGCTGGTGATACAAAACCAGATTCAGGAACAAGTCATCTACACTGAGGATTAAAACCTGAAGCGTGGCTGTGATGGAGGCTAGCACCTGCCACTGTGGAGCAGCCCCGAGGAGCCTAAAAGATCCATGCAGTTTCCGAGGGGAGACAAAGCACTAGCAGAGGAGTCTGCAGAGATGACAGTGTCCATGGGAAGATGCTTTTTAAAAGTAGACTTGTGAAATTGGAAGGAAAGATGGCAGAACAGAGCCAGATGCATGGAATAGAATGGCCAAACTACAAAGGGCAATGCCATGGTCCAGGCTGTAGCCAGAGAGACAATGAATTTTTTTTTTTTTCAGTGTGGTATTGATGACTGCAAACTCACATCTGAGAATTAAAGACATAGAAGGCTTTTGTGACAACCTCCAACAAAACAGTCTAGACAGTTATTGAAGAGAACTCTTAAAAAATGTGATAAGGATGCTGAAGAGTGGCTCTTCACAGTTCATGGCTTCTGGTGGGGGTTGGGTAGGAGAAGGAATCTGTTATCTTCAAGGGGTTGGATACTTGGATTTTGACTGCATCAGTAAATATATTGGCAACACAAATTGGAATTGATACTTGTTTTTTAATCTTTTGATTGCGGGGCAGTTATAAAGTTAGGGTGGACCTGGGAGGACTGGGAATTAAATCGGGTGCATCACGTAAAATTTCCAAATAACCAATCAAAATATTAAGTTAAAAATTATAAAATCCCTACTTGAGTATGAATTGGTTCAGTGGCTTGAAACTTTCTTCCAGAACAAAGCCCTCCCTTAATTCTTCCTCCCTTCTGCTGCCTTACCATTTCCATTATGGCACTACACATGATTTTAGCTTGTTGCTCTAAGCCCAAAATGATGTCTGTCAGACCATAAGCTCTGTGAGAGCAGACCTCCTTCATCTCTGTGTTGCAAATCTAAATCCCCAATAAATGTCTTATGACTTTAATTAGAAGAAAACATCAGCTCTCTTTACAAAGACAAAAATGAAAGAATTTAGATTATCTTTGGTGTGCTAAGAATAAAAAAATAGGTAAACAAACAAATAAATAAAACTATACTGGGTTTAGCAAGCTGGAAGTCAAGTGTTCTTGAATATCCTTTTATTTTGGATTGAAATGTAAAGCCCAGGTGAAAAGTGACCCCAAGTGTTAGTGTCCTATTCAATGAACATCCCAGAATGAATACTTGAAACCATCCAGGCTGTGAGTTAGAATGATGTCCTGCAAATCTGTATACCAGAAAATGTATCTGAGCCCTCAGTGGCTTTTCCTCCTAGAAATGGGTAACTATCACTCCTGTTTTCTTTATAGGTTGACATGGCAGTCTTCTGCCAGTCATGTCGACCCACCTTTTCAATGGCAAGTGCTTTGAAACTATCATCTTTTTAAAAATGGGTAACTATCACTCCTGTTTTCTTTATAGGTTGACATGGCAGTCTCCTGCCAGTCATGTCGACCCACCTTTTCAATGGCAAGTGTTTTGAAACTGTCATCTTTTTAAACACATACACACATACACACACACACACACACACACACACACACACACACACACACACACACAGTTTTATGGCTTACTTCAGTGGGGCCTCATCACTTCTTCCTTTGTCTTTCTTTACTGTGTGTTTCGTTTTGTTTTTTGTCCCATATTCTTCCTAGTTGAAACAGTTTGCCCACTTCCTGTCAATTGTCTGACCTCTCTTTTCATTTTAACCCCTTTGAGATATGTATGTATATAAATTAGCCATTCCAAAAGGAATTGAAGGCTTGAAGTACCTTTAAGTATGACCGATGTGTAATTCTTCATTTAATTCAGACTTCAGAGATTCAAGTGAGTCTACAAAGCTGCCTAGAGAAGATGATACATTTAGAGAAAATGTTTCAGTTTTCTGGGTGACAGTTACAAGACAATGAAGAAACTGAAACTGTTTGATAACCTCAAAGGGTTAATAGTAAGAGTTGTATCCGGGAGATGCGTGTCACAGCACCATAAACAGTGATGCTACAGAGACTTTCGAAAAGACGATTAACTGAAAATCTTGTCCGTTAGTCAGTCTAGAAGGAAGAGAATTAATAATCACAGAACCAATTGCTCTTTTGGAAATGTCTCATCTTCGCATACATCCCCATGAGTTAGCCTTTTCTTTCTGTCTTTTTTTTTTTTTTTTTTTTTTTTTTTTTTTTTTAATGCTCAACGTCTCTCCACTTCTTGTCAATCTCTCATCATTTGAAGAATCAGTGTCTGTTGAGATTCTTGATTAAAAGCCATTTCGTGCGAAGCACAATCCTTCTCTCTCTCTCTCTCTCTCTCTCTCTTTTTTTGTTTGCTTTTTTTTATTGAGTGTAATACAAAGAAAGGAAAAAGGTTGTGGTGTTGGAGTACTTTCTCATGAGGACCACCAGTCTTCTTCCACATGGCTCCTTATCTCATCTCCATACTCCTTTTCTCTTAAATCTAAATGAGGTGCTCCTAATTATGTATTTATTAATAGATATATTTGAACTGGTCTGTATCAGGCCTGAAAGACTGATGTGAAAAGTGTTAAGAAACATGGTGAGAATAATTATTAAGAATGAAGGCAGGAGTCCACATCCACAGGAGCGGGCAGGCAGGAGGATGACAAGCTAGAGGCCAGCCTGGACTGGAAAGCAGCAAAACGAGACCCTGCTTTAATGTCGGGACTTGAGAGATAGCTCAACAGTTGCTGCTCTTCCAGAGGACCCAGGTTTGGTTCCTAAGCCCTGCACTGGGCTCCTCCCAAACACACATAAATTCAGCTACAGAGTATCCAACACTCTCTTATGACCTTACTGGGCACCACAAACAGATGCACATGCTCACACAGAGACAAACACACATACACATAAATAAAAGTAATTTTTTTTTTTTTGCAAATTGCATGAGGCTTTATTGTAGTTTAACTAGCTAACCCCATGTTAGCTCGGGTTTTTGATCCACCTGCCAGGTCGGATGGGTAGCAAAGACAGTTCGAAGCCACTGCGTACAGATCTTTATAGGGCAGCATAAGGGGAGTGTCTAGGGGTATGCACAGGCTCAGGATTGGTGTGCCTTCAGGCTTGGAGGGTTTGCCCTGTGTTGATTGGTCAACTGGTTATTATGGCCCATAGGCCCTCCCAGAGTGGTTGCTATGCTCTATGCGTCATTGCTGTGTGCTTGTCCGTAAAGCACACCCAGAGCCATAAAGCATAGCACCACCAGCTAACTTCTGATTGGTTCCTTGCCACGAGGCAGGCATCTGACCTCTAAGTGACCAAGGCAAGGTTATGGCAAGCACGTGTTCGGCTGTTATGACTGCCGAAATGGGGAGCTGGCCCCTTCATTCCCTCATTTTCTTTTTGAAAATTCCAATCATGGAATTGCTGTCTCTCTAGCGCCCCCATCAGGGAGTGAGAGATATTGGCATCCCAATCCAAGGGAGTTCCTTTTGACTTAGCATTTTAACCAGGGAAAATGGACAAACATATTCATCCTCATTCTACTTCCTGCTGACTTTGGGACGAAGTTAGGGACCCCCAAAAGGCTGAAATGCTAGTCAAAAGCAAAAAGGGAATTTAGGCAA